AAAAAAAAAATTGTTGTTTTGTGTGGGGGGGGGGGGGGGGGGGGGGGGGGGAGTACCCCATGAACACACATATCTGTCCTTGTATGTTTACCTAACATGCCTGAAACACCTCTGCCTACCAGCAATGGCTAACTTTAAACATATCATGGATCTCAGCACACCTGGCTGATCCGTAACCCACAAGGTAATTACTCAGAGCACCAGTACCTGAGAGGTGGATTTGGGCACAGTGTAGGACAGACCTCTCAGTTGTAAGCTCCCCTGGCTGGCTAGAGTTGAGCTGCACTTGAGTTCCCAGGGTGGCAGCGAGGACCGTGAGGGATTGCCCACGCTTCAACAGCTGTTTCTGTTTGTGCTGACAGAGACGCAACGGAACTTCACAGAGCGGGTACCGAGGCAGGGCTTGGGGCTGGCCACTGGCTGGGGCCCTCTTGGCATTGCTGATGGCGCAGGTTACAGTGGAGGTGCTGCTGTTCTAATTGGCAGACTGAGGCTGGCTGAAACTGGACTTGATATGTTCTGGCACTGAAATCAAAATAAAAACAGGATTCAGAATTCAAAACATTTTCCCCCATTACTGGATTACCATTTACTACAATAACATTTGGTACCCTACATGCGAAACTCTGTGTATGTCAGTTTTCTTTGTGGAATTTTTCCACACCCGGAGACGTAAAAAACATCCCAAAAGTAAAACAAAAGAAATAAGTTTAATCTCATTAAAAACTGACCTCATTTTAAACTGAAGGCCAATAATCTAAATAAGATAGGACTGTGTTTAAGTTATCTACTTGGTTTTCTTATAGAACATATAGAGCCAGCCAGTGTTTCTGCTAGGTTTACAGATTTGATGTAGGGCTGGACGATATGGCCAAAATTTATATCATGATATATTTCTTAATTTTGGTCGATACAATATAATTCCGATATCGATATGAACACTATTAAAAAAAGCCTTGTAAAAACTGCCAAGAACACCCACAACAGATGTCTGTGCATACAAACTTATGAAAAAGGAATTTGCCAAGTATATGACACCTCATATAAAACCTTTAGAAAAAAATGGCACAAATAAATGAATGTTCACCTTTTATTTGTATTTAGCCTTCATACAAACAAGAAATGTGAAATCACTGTCAAATAAACATCTCAGACTCACCTTATTAATTATTAATATCTTCTAACATACCAGTCAAAAGTTTTTGAACAGTAAGATTTTTATTGGTTTTAAAGAATTCTCTTCTGCTCACCAACACTGCATTTATTTGATCCAAAATACAGCAAAAACAGTAACATTTTGAAATAATTGTACTATTTAAAATAACTCTTTTCTATTTGGAAATATTTTAAAATGCAATTTATTCCTGTGATTTCAAAGCTATATTTTTAGCATTATTACTCCAATAGAAAGTTCAGAAGAACAGCATTTACCTGAAATAGAAATCGTTTGTAACATTATACATTTCTTTATCATCACTTTTGATCAATTTAATGCATCCTTGTTAAATAAAAGTATTAATTTCTATCATTTTTTTTCCAAAAAAAAAGAAGAAAGAAATCATACTGACTCCAAGCTTTTGAATGGTATAGTGTATAATGTTACAAAAGCTTTTTATTTCAGATAAATGCTGATCTTTGGATCTTTGTCCATCAAAGAATTCTGGGGAAAAAAAATACTCAACTGTATATTGATAATCAGCAAATCAGCATATTAGAATGATTTCTGAAGGATCATGTGACACTGAAGACTGGAGTAATGATGCTGAAAATTCAGCTTTGATCACAGGAATAGATTACATTTTAAAATATATTCAAATAGAAAATATTTCTAAATTTTACTGTTTTTGCTGTACTTTGGATCAAATAAATGCAGACTTGGTGAGCAGAAGAGAATTCTTAAAAAAAAAAAAAAAAAAAAAATCTTACTCTTCAAAAACTTTTGACTGGTAATGTTATAGATAATGTAATGTATAGGTAATGTTATAAGGCTGATTATTGTTATAGATTGAAACAAATGTGCTTCAGACAGGATAAAGAATATGAAAAGTGCTCTGAGTTGCTGCAGAAAAAAAAGAGCAACAACAAAAACATGCTGTTAGAGACGGGCTTATTGAAAATGCAAACTGATTGTCTGCCAGCAGGAGGTGCATTGAGAGCAGTAGAACTCGTGGTTTCTCCGGTAATGGCTGTAAATCAAAGCAGCTCAGCTCATGAACGCTACTTTAGCAGATAAAATGAAAATGTCATCGAAACTTTTCTGAAGACAGTCAGTTCTCTTCAGAGATACATTCATATAAAACACCCGAGCCACGTTTTGATTTTGAAACGTGCAGTGCTAATGTTTATTCAACTAAGTCAAACGCCACAAATAGATCAATGCATGGGAAACACTGGTAATGTATATTATCAAAATATCGGAAATGTGTTTAAAAATCATATCACCGTTATTGAAAAGAATTATAATCGTGATACATTGATATTGAATTATTGTCCAGCCCTAATTTGATGTGACATTTTCGGGACGCGCCCTCTCTGTCCGCTGGTGGGAGTGTGCTCACTTGTGTAGGGCCCTATGAAATCAATTTTATTTTTTACCAAATTCCATTTTTTTTTTTTTTTTACGAATTCTGTTTTTCCATTTTAATTTTTCTGGATTCCGCTTTTTTCTGTTTTAATTTTCCTGGACTCTTTTTTTAAAGGGGTCATGCGATGCTATTTTAAAGATCATTATTTTGTGCACAGTCTGCTCTGATTGGCCAGCTGACCCAGTGCATTGTGATTGGCCAAACACCACAAGCACGCATCGGAAATGTAACGCCCCTTACCATAATCGCGAGCTTCAGCTTTCAACATAAATGTAAAGCCAGTAAATAATGTCCTTAGTTATACCATCAGTTCAAGCCCGAAAGGGGAACATAGTCGCGTGACAGACACAGTGATGATGCTCGTATGTATTTGCAGTACACAAGCCACGGTTAAGAAAGCTGACTCCACTGTGATGTGACCCCCCCCCTCTCTCTCACGCACACACACGACGCGATGCTCTACACGGCGCAGAACTCCACATTTGAACAGTCAATAGCAAATACTTAAATTATTAAGAAAACATACTTAGAGTAGCTGATTCAGAATAAGCACCAGATTGTCATAGCAAAGTTGGAATTGACCCATTTGTTTTTTTTAGAAATAGCCTTTGTGCACAGCCAGCCTTGTATTTTCGGGACGCGCCCTCTCTGTCCGCTGGTGGGAGTGTGCTCACTTGTGTAGGGCCCTATGAAATCAATTTTATTTTTTACCAAATTCCTTTTTTTTTTTTTTTTTACGAATTCTGTTTTTCCATTTTAATTTTTCTGGATTCCGCTTTTTTCTGTTTTAATTTTCCTGGACTCTTTTTTTAAAGGGGTCATGCGATGCTATTTTAAAGATCATTATTTTGTGCACAGTCTGCTCTGATTGGCCAGCTGACCCAGTGCATTGTGATTGGCCAAACACCACAAGCACGCATCGGAAATGTAACGCCCCTTACCATAATCGCGAGCTTCAGCTTTCAACATAAATGTAAAGCCAGTAAATAATGTCCTTAGTTATACCATCAGTTCAAGCCCGAAAGGGGAACAGAGTCGCGTGACAGACACAGTGATGAAGCTGGTATGTGTTTGCAGTACACAAGCCACGGTTAAGAAAGCTGACTCCACTGTGATGTGACCCCCCCTCTCTCTCACGCACACACACGACGCGATGCTCTACACGGCGCAGAACTCCACATTTGAACAGTCAATAGCAAATACTTAAATTATTAAGAAAACATACTTAGAGTAGCTGATTCAGAATAAGCACCAGATTGTCATAGCAAAGTTGGAATTGACCCATTTGTTTTTTTTAGAAATAGCCTTTGTGCACAGCCAGTACTCTTCTAGGTTCAAAAAACTGTCATCCATAAAATGCGTTGCACAAATTCAAACATCTGGATTGTGCTGTTCTGTTGTAAATAAATCTTAACCAATGATTCCTCATTGCATCTACTTTCGGAAGGCCAAATAACGTGCTTTTGCTTTCACACAGAGAAACACAGCGTCTCCCTGACATGGCTGCATCCACACTACTGCGGTTCCTGAAACCACGCCTTCTTTCTTTGCATGAACATTTCAGCAGCATTATGCAAATATTTCCACATCGTGACGTAGAGATGTGGGGGCATGTTTGAATGAGGCTTTTTGGCTCGGTCTGGATCAGCCTTCTCTTTTAGATAGAATAAATCCTTTTGTGGGAGACTTTGAGCTTTGTAACTCTGCACATCTTATACATGCACAAATAGCTACGTAACACTAAAGAAAAGGAAAAAAAGAAAATCGCATCATATGACCCTTTAATTGTTAAATTAAATTTTATTAAAGGGGTCATATGATGCGATTTCAATTTTTCCTTTCTCTTGGGAGTGTTACAAGCTCTTGGTGCATAAAGAAGATCTGTAAAGTTGCAAAGACTAAAGTCTCAAATTCAAAGAGATATTCTTTATATAAGTTCAGAGTCAGCCACGCCTACCTAAAATGGCTTGTTCTAACACGCCCCCAGATATCTACATCACTATGTGGGAAGATTTGCATAATGCCGCTTAAATGTGCACGCAAAGGAAGGCGGCGTGGTTTCAGGAACAGGTTTAGTGTTGATGCAGCCATGTCAGGGAGACGCTGCGTATTTCAGTGTGAAAGCAAAAGCACTTTATTTGGCCTTCCGGAAGTTCGACTTTGCTATGACAATCTGGCGCTTCTGAATCAGCGACTGTAAGTATGTTTTGTTATTAGTTTACGTGTTTGCTTTTGACTGTTAAAATGTGGAGTTTTGCGCAGCGCAGAGTAACGCGTCTTGTGTGTGTGTGTGTGTGTGAGGGGAACAGGGTCACATCACAGGAGAGTGAACTGCCTGTCAGAAATCATAGCACGTCAGCTGTCTTAACCGCGGCTTGTGTACTGCATCATCACTGTGTCTGTCACGCGACTCTGTTCCCCTTTCGGGCTTGAACTGATGGCAAAACTAACGACATTCTTAACTGTCTTGATATTTACTTTGAAAGCTAAAGCTCGCCATTATGGTAAGGGGCGTTACATTTCCGACGCGTGCTTGTGTTCGGCCAATCACAATGCACTGGGTCAGCTGGCCAATCAGAACAGACTGCGCTTGTCAAAGGAGGGGGCTTTGTTGAAAACGACGTGTTTGAGAGAGGCGGGGCATAGAGGACCTACAATAATGTACAGTATTTGAAAAATTGTGTTTTTTGAACATTAAAGCATGTCAACATAGTGTTACACCAAATACACAAAATAATGATCTTTAAAATAGCATCATATGATCCCTTTAAACCAAATTTTAATTTTGCCGGGTTGCCGTGAATGCCTTTAAATTTCTGTGTGATATTAGGCTAGTTTTTATGACTGGATACCACGATTCCGTCCGCATCGCTGACATCATAGGGCCCTACCTATGGGTGCGCGCACGTGTCTGTCTGTGTGTGTAACGCCGCTGTGCGT